GGGACTCAGATCTCGGAGCCGCTGGTCACAGAGAAGCCGATTTCAGGGGCAGACCTCGGGCTGCCGCTCCCGCCCTCGTCCCGGCCCACCCTCCCACGGCCCAGCTCTCCGGCGCCCCAGGCAGTGTGCGAAGCACGGGGGGCAGAGGCTCAGGCCACACAGCAGGACTGGAAGTCACCGTTCCCAAGTGCCAGATTGATACCATGTTCCTGGACACCAGGGCCTGGTGGCGGGCGTGGCACGGTGGCACTGTGGGAAGAGGATGACACGCGTCCGAGAGCAGGGCACGAGGGCACGTCCTGTGGGGGGTGGGCCCGGCTCCCCTCTGTCGTCGCAGGTGGGTGTCGCCCCAGGGAGGTGGGGCAGGAACAGGACTTCCCCTCGGAAACCCCAGGACGCTCTGCTCTCTGGGGAAAGAGCTGCCGGCGGCGGGTGGCGGGGAGGGCCGCAGCCTCGCGCTTGCACCATCCGGGGCACGTCTGGGACCAGCGACGGGCGCCTCCCCTCAGTCTCCCCTCACACAGCTTCTCGTGTGACCACCGAGCCGGGCGCGCTGGTCTCAGCGCTCTGGGTGTCCGTTGTGCCGTGTCCTAGTTCTGGCTGCCACAACAAGGGACACGGCTGTGTGGCCGGGAACGCACTCGTCCGCACGGGTCCGGCCGGGGGTCCAGGGTCAAGGTGCCGGCCGACCGGTTCCTGGCCAGGGCCGCCCTCCCGCCTTGCTGCCGGCGCCGCCTCGCCGCGTCCTCGCGTGGCGCAGGGATGAGGGACCCTCTGTGGTCTCTTTTATAAAGTCACTGGCGGGGTGAGGTTTCCACACAGGAATCTGGGGGACACAGACCTATGGCTCGTAGCACATCGCGTTGCGCGGTGGGCAGACGTTGGGCACGTGTGCGAGGCGGGAGCCTGCGCGGTCTCTGTGGCTCCTCCGTGCCCAGGCGAGGCCCCGCAGGGCGTCCCACAGCGGTGCTGACCGAGCGAACAAAAGGCGGGTGGGGAGTGTCGGGTGCGGCCGCCCGCTGGGTCTGCCAGCCCTGCTCCTTCTCCCCACGTGACCCCTGGGGCAGCAGAGGCTGGGCCGGCCCAACCCTGGCAACGGCCGCGTCGTGGCCAGGCCCAGTGCACTGTGAGGCGGCCGGGACCGC